TACTAGAACCCTCTTGACCGCCCACCTGCACTCAACCAGCAAAGTTACGACCGCCACTGCTATAATCGTGGCGCATAAACCCAGAACATAAAATAGAGCGGGAAAGGCTTCTTCGTGAGAATTCAAAATTTGGACGTTTGGTTCTTTAAAGTTTGAATTATATTTTCGAATTAACTTTGACGTTAAATCTGGACCAAAATATTGCATGTTACGTAGCTGCAACCCCGTAAGCTCGATGGCAAGCCATCTCCCAGATATACCTGATTCCATTAATCATACGAAACATGTGGATATCGTCCCCGAAATATAATTGTAGCTTGCAGACCTTACGACGTTATACTGGAAGGGAACGTCGTGCAGGTTATCGAGAACCAACCGCTGCCCAATTGTTTTTATTGACGAAGTCCACAATGCTAAGACACCTTCGTCATCTGCAATTGCAAACGTGTGCCGCGTCGGAATTCCCGCATCTTTGGTCCAAATTATTTCTGAGTTAGAAATATTATTCACAATTAAGGACAAATTGTACGTTTTGCGCGAAACGTAGATACACCGGTGTAAAAAGGTTGAAAGAAGGGTGGCAAATGTTTTCCCGCTTGTTGACGAATCCTTTCTAATCGATGCAAGTGACTTTGATAGATGATAGTCTATGAGCGACCCATGCTTTCCGTTTGCCCAGTTCATTGTGCTAGTTGTAATTATGGTGAGATTTGACTGCGTTAATTCTTTGAAACTTCTGGGGACCACGGGAAAGGGTGTAGCGGTCAAGTCTGACGTTATAGATCCCTTGTACAAATTTTGCATGAGAACGTAACACCCCAAAAACCACACGAAAAGCATCGGAACAGCTTTTCTCTGTTTTTGTAATAAGTGTACGATATCACTGCCATACTGACTCATCAAAATTGAGGTAAATGTTATTAAATCACGCATAAATATAGCACTATATTCTATTTTGTTATTAGGCAGATTGTGCATATCCCGGTTAAATTGAATCACAACAGTTATTAAAATGCAAGAAGATAAAATTAAGGTCCACGTCGAAAGATCAAACGGGGTAAAAACGTTCCCAAAACTACTTTCCGCTATCGGAAATTGGGTGACTATGGAAAATCTAAACCTTTGAAATGTTAAGGTGAGAATTTTTTGGTGTCTCCTTTTGTAAAAGTCGTTTAAGATATCATCTCGTAACAGAGAATAAAAAAAGATAGTCGAGCTTATTCCAGTATCCAAACGCTCCAAACTAAGAGTCTCTATAAGCTTTACATACATCGTGGTGCAATTGAGTTGCGTTCCAATCGTAAAAGTCATACAATATCGATAAGAATCTGGGGGGAGGAATTTACTTAGATTTGGCCCACAAGAGTTTGCTTGATCAGATATCTCTGTTGCAAAGCGCCTGTTTGGGACACCTAAAATATTTCCCTGCATGTTGATCTCGTTTTGATGGTGCCAAATTGAATTGATCATTTCAAACAAAAAAAGTTGACTTTTAACAAACATAAAATTTTGACAGGGAAAGCAAGGAATATAAATGCCATCTTCGCCGAAAAGTATTATCTTGGATGTCCCGATTACATCGGAAAGTTCATTAACGTGGTGCAATGCATGAGACCGAAAGACAAAGATGTATTCGGTTTTTGAGTTGACAGAAGTATAGAATTCGACAGAATATAAGGACGGTTTTGAAATAAATAATATTTCTGAACGGGGAGATCTTTTAATTCGGTTTTCGATTTGCGCTAACGAGGTGATATTTGCGGGAGAATTAAAATTTCGTATAACTTTTATACTGTCATGGTACGAAAGAGGTAAGCAATTTTCTAATCTAGATTCCCAAATGTCCTCTTCCCCGCTGTCCAGTATGAAATGAAGGTTAAGAAAATTAGGAATATCAAGAAGGAATACATTTTTCGATAATTCAGGTATGTATGTATAGATTAATATATAATCCGATTCTTTTATCGTTATGACTGAAAACTGAAGTCAACTATTGGCGTCAGTGTGATGCTGACTACACGAAGAAGTCATGTAGGCTGGGAAATTAAGGTATCGAGTTGAACAAATAATACGTGGAGCGAATAACATGCACTCGTAGAAATGTAGTGCAGATATGTTGATAAGGATTTCTCGACATTAAAATTTCCACAAATTGATAGAAAAATTTTACCGCTTGGTGAAAATAATTGGTGTGGAAATCACGCGCTTGGAAATTGTGTATGGAGCTGAAATTGTAAAGGTTGATTTGCGCATGAATACGGACACCTGTGAAAATTGGGTGCAGGTATGGTGATAGTTTGTTACCGAGCTGCATACACATACATTACTTTTAGGTTTTAAGCAAACATTTACGATTACGACATTGACAGAGTCATTCATATCACACAACGCTGTTTAATTTTATTACTAGACTTTTTTAGAGTGTTCGATAAGGTTGGGCGATGAAAATGCACTCACTGGTATTAGACGAAAACTTATTATTCATGTACATGTCGGTGGATGAAGTGGTGAAGCTTAGAGTGGGCGGTAACTTATTTTCTAAAAGAGTTGGCTTCGTGATAACTTATTACTGATAACTTTGTTTTCTTGACTTTCTTGGTTTCGTGCCAACCGCTAGTCACGATGATTGCAAACCACTTTAACATGTGTAATTTCTGTTATGCACAGTGATTCGTTTCTTGCGGGTTTGCTTCATTTCTTGCACTGCAAAGCAAGAAATACAAGAAATCCAAGGTGCACTGCAAGAAATTTAAGAAACACAGCGCCTTCTAGCGAAGCGCCCTAAGAATTACAGCGGCGGGAAGGAGTTTCTTGAGGGTAAAATAGCTGCAAGAAACCATTTTCTTGTGGTTATTTGTTGCAGGTGGTTACTTGCACCCGAAACACTGGTTATGCAGCGAAATATATGCACACTCTTAGAAAACTGGTCTTGAATTAATAGTGGGCGCAGTACAGATAAATATCATGCAGTACTTATATTTAGTTCCGGCGTGACAATCACCGCCATTCTGGTTAAGTAAGCAAAAATAGTAATGAGAATTATACTGCGGATAAGTACTCAAAAACGAACTATTTACTACCAATCCAGTAACAAGGAGGACGCACCCTTCTTATGAGAAAATCCCCCCCAGTGATATTTGCCCCAAATTTTGATATGTTGTACACCTCGAGGTGCTGATCAAAAACTGTATTGGTCCCTAAGCCCTAAGTGACCTGGTTCGACCGGAAACCGAGGTCAAAGGTCAGTGCACTTTTTCGCTCGAAACCCCACAAACCGTATATTCTTGGAAAGCTACGGACCTCATCAGTCCGAATATACACCATACTTGGGTCAAAGGTCAACCCCTGACCTTTTGAGGTCAGCTATTTAGGCAAGGTGACCGTTTATGGACCTTACGGACATTTTTACACGCTCCGCTGCACTCCGGTCAGCCGAGTGCATGTCGAGCAAGCTTAGTCGACTCTATGGCTGTTGTGTGTACAACTGTGTTGCAACAGCAACACACATTTGCAACTTTTTGCTTGACCTCGAAAGGTCAAGACTTGACCTTTGACCCTATTATGGTGTATATTGGGACTCGTGAGGTCCGTAGCTTTCCAAGAATATACGGTTTGTGGGGTTTCGAGCGAAAAAGTGCACTGACCTTTGACCTCGGTTTCCGGTCGAACCAGGTCACTTAGGGCTTAGGGACCAATACATTTTTTGATCAGCACCTCGAGGTGTACAACATATCAAAATTTGGGGCAAATATCACGGGGGGGGATTTTCTCATAAGAAGGGGTGCGTCCTCCTTTATTATCAAACCAACGCCCTAAATATATATGATCAACATTTTCTCACAAATTGCTAACGATGACACAACTGGCTAGGTACAATTTACCATATGAAAATTACAAGTTATCGAACGTTGTAGAATTTTGCCTCAACCTTGAGTAAATTTTATAGATCGGTTGTATCATTTGCAAATCCTTGATTTACTAACATTATTTAGAGTGCACATAAGTATGTGACTCTACCAGATTTTGGCAGTGTAGGAATGTAAATTTAAGTGTATTTAAGATTTGCCGTAATCGTGTCATTTGCTGTCACCTAAGAAAAACAATTTTTGTCACAAGCTTTGCCTTCTATTTAAATATAGTTCTTTTCCCTCCTTTAGTCCTTATCATGGTGATGTCTATATTATCGACTTATGCGACATATATACAGAAATTGAAGTATGTATCGTGAGCGACATATGCAATAGTTCCATCGCGTTTTCTCTCCACTTATGTATTTTTCTAAAATAGACATGCCAAGACAGTCACGAATTTGCAAATGTCGCGGTTATTAATAAATATTTATACATATGTACATAGCTATACGATTTAAATATTTTCATCAGTTTGTTCATGCAGGCCACGCCATTAAGGCTAATGTCACCCTTTTGAATAATTAATGCAGTCTCAATTCTATATTAACATCATAACATCTTAACTTTCATGTCCATATCGGTGGATGAAGTGGTAACCTTTAAGGAAGGCATTAACTAATTTAAAAAAAGATTTATGACACCCGCTAAACACGATATCAGACCATTTTATGATACATACGTATCGAAATTTGCACACAAAAATAACGGACGACAAAATAATTCTTAAAAGATAACATGTGCATGTGAGGCCCCAAGAAGAAAACCAAATGTCATCATCGTGGAGTACAATTGCTAAGTCAGGGTTTATCGCACGCTTCATAATTTTAGATAAATAACCCAAAAGTCAATATACCTTCGCGAATATTAGTCTTGTCGAAGGCCGGAATACGTTGTCGATAGAAATCTCTCTTCGAGGTGGTAAAAAAGCTTACGATTTTTTACGAAGTTGGGCCCTTGGTTTCTATTCGTAAACTGTTTTACGATACTAACAAAAATATGTGAAGGATACGAAGACAATTGTGAATACGCTCAATATTTATTTTCACGAATACCTATATAATAAAAGTAGGAAAATAATGTAAATAAATATTCGCACGTACACATATTCAGATTTATTGGCACATTTTAGATTGAATGAAATTATTAAAAGATTTATGTATGTATGTTCATAGGTATCTCAGTTTATAAATCTTTTATGTAGAACAAACTAAATTACAAAATTTGCAAAAGTTATGAGTCATATTCGCGTGCAATTTTTTTTACAAATTTCACTCGTCTCACTAATTAATTTCCATTAACGTAATCCACGGCTTAATTAATTCTTGTCAATTGCAATTTGGACATGGTCACGTGGGTCCAACGCATCTCTAAATAGTTCCACTTCTCCTAGCATTCCATCGAGCAGAGATTTCCCTTCCTGTTCCGTCAAAATTTCACTGTCACCCATCACACTTATACAAATCTTGTCGTGTGACGAAATTATAAAAAATGCAATAGCTGCAAAATAATAAATATGTTGCTAAATTATTTCGCGAATTTGACAAGGTACATACATACATAAATTGGCAAACCAACCGTTTGTGTCCTCCAGCCCAGATCCACAAGATCCCAGTCCGACTACCGGATATCCAAAGAGATGAAATGGATTTCGGTACACGACAAAAATCGAGGCCACGTAATTTCTCATGTTTCTAGCAGACTTTGCACCGCTTATCGTCCTACGCAGGAGAAACGGGGGCAAACTTCCGCTCAAGGAACCCAGAAAGTTTACCATCCCAGGAAAAGTGGACACTTTCAAGGTTTGAAATTGTTGTTCAACTCGTTTCAGATTGTCGGGACAAGTAACATTTTGCGATAGTTCGATGTATCCCATCCCCCTGAAAATGTTTATACAACAACAAAATATTTACGTACTTATAATGGAGGTCTCTCAACGAATGCCCTCCAATTTTTTGGCAAAATTACTGTCAGTCGATCAAATGTTTAATCTGTATGAAATTTGCGGGCACAATCTCCCAATGTTTTGAAAAGATATTTGCATTAGAGGAGGAGAAACTGGAGTAAATTTGTCGATAAAACTTGTCGACTTTAAGGCACGTTTTCTCCTCTGTGGATGCAAATATCTCTGCCAAAGCCTCACATTGGAAGATAGTGTATTTTGCTAATTTCATATTAATTAAATCTTTGATCGGTGGACAATATTTAAATAATTTGGGCAAAATCCAAGAGCAAACGCTAAGTGGCCTCTAGTGTTAGCATTTTTTGAAATATGTAATTATATCTTTATAAAATTTCCCTGAACGTACGCAACATTTCTTAATTTCTCAGGATGAAATGGTTGAGGCAGCGGGAAGTACAAAAGTCCATTAGGCGTATTTCCGAATTTCCGGATTGATCCTTGCACCGCAGAGATGAGGAGGGTGCTTAACGAAACGGCATGACCTGTTGAAATCTGTTTCATCTCTGCCAAGCTTACTGACGCCGTGGATATGGTCATTCCTGCATTTGGAATTTTTTCAATTTCTTGCATATTCCCGGAATTAACTTGTCCAGGACTTCGTAAAAGAGTTGTTAAAAGCGCCTCAAGGTACGTCGCAATGTCGTATGGAATTCTAAGTAAGGTTTTCACCTGGAAAAAATCGCAAATTTAACAAAATTTTGTATACTTAGGAGTAGTAATCTGGTATAAATAATCACATAGATTGTGATTTCTCGGTATTAAACCTGATACTACTTGGTATTAAAATTATGAATATCGATCCGTAAAAATTTGCTGCCGATATGGCAAAACTTTAATACCGCTTGGTATTATTTGTCTAATTCATTTCTTAACTTCGTAATTTACCAGAGATACCACAGCCGCTCCACGTTTTCCCGGAACTTGTAAAGTCACCTTCTTCTTCGCTTCCACAATTGGCGGCTGGCTAACCTTATTCACCAACTTTTGCATAGAGAAGCCATCTGCTAGGGCGTGATGCATGATAAAAAGGACGCAAAATTTCCCCCCGACACCGGGAACGATGACCAGCTCCCAGAACGCTTCCTGACCAAATTTCCACTCCCTTTTGTACAGCGTCCTTAGTAAATTGATCCCCTCCTTGGAGTCAATATCGATCGGATCGATATCCAACAACCGTATGGGCAGGGTAAAGTTGGGAATATCTGCCCAAAAGAAATACCCGCCCCAGGAAACGATTGTCTGCCTGAGTTCAGGGTAAAGTGGGGCATCACCACCAGCGGGATCTTTTGCATTTAAAATTTTTTCAGTGAACTGTGCCTTAATATGGGCAAGATCTGGGACCCCCTCCACCGTTAAGGGGAGGATGTTGCTTCCTTTCCCGCCAATGCATGCGTGTGATGTTGCCGTGGCGTTTAGAATTTTCCCAATTGATGGGCCTCCAACCAGCTGACAAAGGCGGGCCACAATTCGGCGGTATAGCAGAAGAGGGGTGATCAGTACGAGGAAAAGTGGGAGGAGTATGAGGACACAAATGTACAGAAATGGGATCACAATTACGCGATACATTGAATGATTATGGATTTATTTTCCAGCCGAACTTTACTTCTTAATGAATAACTTGGTTCTGGTTGCGGTTTAGTATTCATAATATTTCTTCGTCTGCTTCATATTTATTTGCATTCTCGTATGTAAAATTCCCCAGGTAAACATCGAAGCGCTGGATTTATGGAGCAGAGCAGGAATTGCTTACATATGTGTTTGAGGAATATTAAGCATGTGAGAAATCAGGTTTTGCTTCCCATGAGAAATTACGAGATATCTTATTTGGTCGTATTGCTGACTGGGTTTTAAATACGCGTGCATAGTTTTTTTCAAAGTGCAGCAAATTTCTGGTTATGTTTGTATTTATCGTAGTTTTACTGAATTAAGTGTAATTATTTGTGATTTATCAGAAATATTGCCGAAGTACGTCGTGAGTTCGTTATGATATTGTGTACGTAAGTATTTTGGTTTGTTGTAATGTGCACCATTCATGTATCAAGACAGTTAATATAATTTATTACACATATTTATTTACTTACCTTAATTTATTTACTGTAATGCTATTTAAATTAGAAGATTTGGCGTAAATATTTATGTTTACGCGAGATTAAGTTTAATAAATAATTATTGAACCATACATACATATTCACATAAATATTATTTGTTCACATTATGCTACAAATTTATACAATTTTGCAACGGAGCAGTATTTACACTTTACATCACAGCGCATCCTTAATTACAGATATGTACATAACTAAATCAGTAATTACAATCGTTGGGAAAAATGCATATGGAAGATACAAACATATACATTCATGATTGATTATTAGCGTTTTCATAAATATTTCTGTATTTCCCATTTAGTTACCAATTTAATTCAGTTTTCACACCAATTCTCCCATCCGGTACGACTGATTGATTTTGTAAGCGTGGGCTATTCTCCGAATAAAACTGATTAAACCAGCGACGAAAAGTTTTGACGGCTTTATCCTCCTTCATGAGAATTGGCCTACTCAGATACGTTTTTCTGTTCCAGATGGCAATGTCCCTTTCCAACTACATATTTAGATAATTCGGGTAAAAAATGCATGACCAAATTTACCTCGGACTGATTTAATATTTCTAAATTACAGATAATCATACAAGCTTAGAAATAATTTCACCCTTTTGAAAAAGGTAAATTCGATTTAAATATTCTAAATTATGAGTAAACTGTATTAAATCCAGATTTACGTTAACTTGTTAAATAGTGAAGTTTACTCTGGATTTATGAAGTATCGTTTACTTACATATGTAACACACATTATTGTTCAAAACGGTAACATCATTTTTCAGAGTGTACTACGTACCTGGCTAGCTTGACCCTTCATGAATAGCAGTGCGATTGGGTGCAAAAGAAACCGAGAAGAGTAAAACGTTAGAGTAAGTTTCATAACAAGCGGTGCCAGAGGCGTCGTCATGAAAAAGAAGACGCCATTGCCACCAAATCCTTTATAATGCAGGTAAACCATTCCGGGACCAACCTGCAAAAATATGCATATGTAGCTACATACCATTTAAAACTTAAATTTTCAATCTTTCTGAAAATGCGGGTATTCACTAAGAGCTTGCATGTTCGTATCGCAACATATGTATGTATGTATTTTGAAAAACCATTTTGCGAACTTTTTTTGCAAAATACGAAGTGAATACCCTCATTTTTTAGAGATTTTCCTTACATGATTCGCTGCCACGTTGGCAAAGGGGACATCCATTAAGGTAAAACGGTTAAGTAATTTTACTCTGTGATTTAAGGACATGATTGCTTTGTGGCCTAATTTTGGGTCAGGGTTAGGTTCCCAACTTCCAGACCAGATATGGCTTATGAATTCCCAGGCCGATTTCAACCCTGCAATGTTTCCTCCGGCAAAAACGGAAGGTTTGTGAACAGCATTGAAATGCGTCATATCAGCCCCGTTTTCACCGACATCCTGAACAACGAGGAAATTTTTACGGAAAAAATTTCCAAAAGTTTATGCGTGCATTTTCAAACTTTTTTTCTACCTGAATGTGACACGCCGTAATAAAGACCGACCTTCCACGATAAATCCACTCTCCACTAGAAACTTGTGGAATTTCGTCGGGTTTCCAAGAGGGCTGAATATGCAAAAAATGATAAAATGTCAGTATTTATGTCACCTCGTCAACATTACGAGTATTTATTTTATTTCGCATGTTCGCATCGTAAATGATTTTTAAAAAATGCGAGCCACATAAATACATACAACCAATATTCGCAAGTTCGTAAATACATAAATTTTCAAACCATTTTTTTGCGAACTTATTTACTTCTTTACCACCCATGCGAACTGGTAATTATTTTACCCACCTTTTCACCTTCAGCGTGATACCAGAGATAAATAAAACCGTTCAGTTCCAGTGTTTCCCACATTTTTAAATGTGCAAATTCCGGGACTAGTAGACATACATAATTAGGAGAAGTTTTCGTTTAAAATCTGAATTACATATGTAAATCAGTAGTATTTACCAGAGTCAGAGTAAGGAACATGGACACAATCGCCACTCCCCCCTTGGAATACCCACTTGTGAAAGGGACACTCGATACAGTCGCCCTTTACGACGCCACCAACACCAAGATGTGCCCCCAAATGGGGACAGTATGCATCCGCCACGTACGACTTTCCACTCTCGCCCCGCCAAACGACCAAATTCAAACCTAAGAAAATATAAATGGCCGACACTATTAATAAAACAATTAGGGATGATAATCCGGAGAATCCGATCCGACCGGATAACATGGATCCGATCCGATAATACCCGGTCGAATCCATTAGTAAATGGCCGGATAAAAAAAATCCGACGAATCCGATGTATTTAACTTAATTAACCACCCTAAACCCCACCCTAAAACCAATTCGATATGTTCCCAAAAATTTAAATATTTACCTAAACAGCACACTTCTTTCGCGCCTTGAGCGGGAAGATCGCGCGATTCCAAAATGTTAAACCAACCGTTTGGATAGACGGGCGGAATGTCACCGACTTTTCTTTGATTGCGCATTTCATTAATTGCATGACGTCTCGAAGCGTCACTCCCGTTTATCCGCTTGGCGTCATCGTACCCGAATTCGGTGTAATCCTGTAAATAATTTAACCTTTTAAGATAACACCTTAAATTAAGGGAAACTTTGCAAATTACCCGATAATAGTCGAGAGTTTTCCAGAAAAAATAATACCAGAGTACCAGTAGTGGAGGGATAATTATTAATAAATACTTAAAGTCAGGAGCAAACTTTGTAAATTCGAGTAAAGTGAAGGAAGATTGTGGCCGGAAGCCAAATATTAAATCCTTATTGATGTCCACGATACTGCAATTGAGGTCCATCTTTAAACAGTCCATGTAATGATCCGATTTCAGCTTAATTAAAAGTTAGCAAATCTGTACGTATGTATATTTATGTCAGTGTATTTAAAATTTGTTACTTGTCTCAAGTTTATAAATTCATGGGCTAAAATTTGATGAGGTGAGAAGCACAATTTTATGTAAATACAGTCGACTTGATGAGAGGAATGATACAGAAAAAAACGAGTTTGATACCAACATTCTGACCAAATCGTTACTACAGAGGGGTTGTTGCACGATTTGACCGTTTGCATGAACATGAGTGTATATATGCAACTTATGTACGTGAACCTGGAATGGTTCAACAGAGCATACATTTAGTTGTTAACAATTCCAAACTATTCGCTAAACATGCAAAAACGTGCCAAAGTACAGTGGAAAAGGGGGAACTGGGAAGTACAAATTATAAATCTATCTATCTATTACTCGTTCGCATTAATGCGCCTAACGCTCTGTATAAATATTTTCTCACGGAACTAAACATAAAATTACGAATTTATTCAGGCTACCTAAGTAAATTTCCTAATTGCAAATAAACAAGCAAATTGGCTGCGTAAATAGATTCCGGTATTTCATGATACATAGATTGCGAAATTTGCGTGTGCTCATATGAACCGATATCAACTTGCCAACCTTCACACGTGGCGAATGATAAATGAGCTATGGAATTAACCACAGTAGTTTCATACATAAGTATGCAAAAGTCAATACTCTGATTTTTTCACACGGTTTTTCCATTAAGTATATCAAAAACTGGGAAAATATGTAGCATGAACATTTATTATTGGTTGCGTATATATGTAGCGATATTCCGGGGGTAAGAGTAATTTATAAGTTGGTGTGCATATCAGGTTATTTTCCTGCCGATAATAAACAAGTTTCGCTTTCTTATTTTTTAATAAGACACTACGATTTTTAGTGATCAATGGCATGCAGATGGGTAAGAAATCTCAAGTTTGTAAAGATTGTTTTGCTAGATTTGGTGTTTTTCTGACGTTGAGTAGGTAATTAACGGCTCGTTTTACACAAGTCATTGAGCTAAGGTTATAACTATGAATTTATTTTTACTTAGAATATGTACAATCAAGTTTTTCCAGACTTCGGACCTGACCAAAAGGAAGCAGTTTTTACTTTGATCATATGTACATAAACGTATAAAGATTGTTTTGGGTACAATGAAAGGTATCTTTTTCTTTATTATATATACTCTTCGAAAACTGGCATTAGTCGTTTCATCCTGGGGTATAAGTGTAGATATCTATATATTGCGCTACAGGCACTGTAACATACATGAGTATAACCGTTTAGTAATGTTTAATAATGTGTAGTGTAAAGTACAGGGTGGTTTGTAGAAAATGTTACGCTACAATGGATAATTTGTCGATAAGAAAAATTCGTAAATTCACATTAGTTACGGAAATGTTATCTCTGAAATTCAACATGCTAAGAACTTTGTCGTCATCCGTTTTGATGATAATACAGGGTGTTAATAAAGTCCGATCCCATTTTTCCTGTAAAAAAGTGAAGGCTAGTATTAAAAAAAACTACCCGTGATACTTACAAAAAATGTTCGACATATTTACCTTAGTATTTGGTCTTGTTACCATTTACTTTAACCATGCCCTCAACTCTTTGTTTAAGGCTCTGTGCTAATTTTTCCAATGTGCCTCTGGAAATCGAATTCCATACATCTTGAACTTTTTTTTACTAGCTCTTCCCTCGTCCGGGGTTGTGGCTCTTTGTATACATTTTCCTTAAGTATGGACCACTGGTTCTTCAGGGGATTCAAATCTGGGCCGTTAGCGGCCCACACCCCCTTGCTCCAGACCGTTGAAACTTGCGTCTTGATGAGACTCAAACTCGCTTTTGCTGTATGGGCTATAGCACCATCCTGCATGAAAACTATTTTTCTTTCATTCGGAAATATTTCCTTGTTCCCCATGCTATCGAAATAGATAGGTAATATTTTTTCCATATAATGCTTTGCATTGACTGATTTGCCTTTTGGTATGATATGTAGAGGGGTCACGCAACGTGCACAAAATCCACCCGCTACCATAACTTTAAGCCCGAATTTTGGGATCGCTCTTGATGGTACATCCGATTTGTTTTCTGTCCTGTAACGAACATTTTGTTGGTTCAATTTTGGATATAGTTCAATAATAGATTCGTCAGTTGAAAGGATGTGACTGCGCAATTCTTCACCAAGTCTTTTTTCACTCAAATGGGCACTTTTCTGAAGGAGTTCTTCAAATTTCAGACGGTCATCGATATATTTTTGTGACATGAGAGGTTTTTTTGGTTAGTTTGTAAGCTGTGTGACCCCACTTCGTAGTTTTCACAAATTTTTGCACGGTCACACAGTTAATTTGCTTCTTCTTCTCTTTATAGCGTTTTGAGTCATTTAACTCCCTTGCTCAATTACGTAATGAACTACCGGTTTTCTTGCAAAGTCTGTTTTTAATCATTCTTTTTGTGGTAGGTGACACCTTTCTGGGTCGCCCTGGTCGCTTTTTGTCGTGGACAAAATTTTTATTCTTCCATTTCCAAACCGTTCTGCGGCTGCAGCCCAATTTTTGCACAATTTCTGTAGGTTTAAGCCCCTGCTGATGCAATGTTTGTATCTCAACTCTAAGATGCTCATGACTTACACGTTTAGTTGTTCCTCCCATGGTAAAAATTTGAAATAAATAACTTCACTGGTTCAAAAGTTCCAGCTGAATTTGTAACAACCACGCTCCAAAAAATGCATGGGATCGGACTTTATTAACACCCTTTAATAAAAATCCCAATCCCAAAATCCTGTAACTAATGTAAATACAGATATGTAGATTTAGGGGTTTTGTCCATCTAAAAATTTTGCATTGTCCTATGAGATTTAAACCACCTTGTATAAATGCATATACAGTTACTCAAATTATTGATGGCACCATTCCAAGTCGTGACACAAACCGTAGTGTCTTTGCATTCTGGAAATGTGTTATCATTGTGAAATACATCGATCCCATGGGAAATTTAATCGAGATTTCAAAAATCAAAGCAGTTTATTGCTTACTTTAACCGTTTCCGAAATATTTCAAATAGAGTGGCAAAACTTCCAAAATTCATGCCAAACAATCAATGGCACCTTTATCATCTTTCGGCATTGCTATTGGTATACAAACTCCAAGCTAAAAATCACCAGGTAAGTTTGAGTTGCCATTAGTTTTAAATGTGCCAAATGCAATTTGACAGTTGCAAATATTGATAAGGTCGACTACAATTGGTTGGACAGACTTGAGGATTGAGCAACGAAAAAATGTCACCGCTGTCCGCGAGAAAGGGTTAGGATACTCGAAGAAGTGCTCCAAAACCAAGCTTTCGACGTGTATTTTGCGATATATAGTTAAAAAATAGAAGGAAACCGGAACAGAGGCGAATTTACGCGGCCGGGAACCGAAAGGGACGTCCATTGCGCGGAATGGTCCAAATATAGCCCGTAAGATTTTGACCCACCGAGGACCTTTTATCCTAAAATCACTTCTGAAGGTCACCAACAATTCAAAGTACATTTTACACCTCAAACGAATTGCAACAAAATTCGAGAAATTGTATTTAAACGCCAAGTGGCGCTGAAGAAACCATTCATCAATATTCAGAATATGAAGGATCACCTCGGATGGGCAAAAGCAACCAGTTATTGGACTATCAAAGACTGTTAACGAATTATTTAGAGTGATTATAGCATATTTAACCTATTTGGGTCCTATGGGACTCTAAAAATCTAGTAGGATCCTTCGGAAGCCCTGAAATTGCAGCGCATGAGGAAGACGATGAAGCATGGTGGCGGAAATGTCATGATCTTGGGCCCTTAACCATTGGGTTAAGTTGACACATCGCACTTTATTGTTATAATTATAACTAAGGAAGTACAGAAGACCATTTTGTGGGACAATTTGATAACTTTATGCAGATATCGGCGTCTTGGGGATAACTTTGAATTCCAGCAGTATGGGTACTTCCAGCATTCGGCGAATATCATCAAGCTGTACTTCGAGGAAACTCCGGTAACAAATCTTTATTGCGTTGCCCAATGTCCAGGACTAAACCACATATACTTTTGATGTGCCGAATTGGGGCAAAGAATTTTTAACAGCACTCCAAAACCAAAAAATTAGTTACAAGTGATCATCAGCAAGAAATGGGGTAATCTAGGACCGGAAGTGGTCAAAACCTTGGAGGGTTCTATTTCACGTGACATTCAAACAGTAATTGGTGCAAAAGGTGGCATCACAAAGTAGTGATAAGAACTTACAAGTATATTTCAATAAAAAATTAGCATGGTGCCTTTAATTATTTTGCATGCACTTTGGAAGTTTAATGGCTCTATTTAAAATATCTTTAAAACTGTTACAGTTAGCGTTAAACTGATTTGATTTTTATAACCCCCATTAAATTTTCTTTAGAATCGATATATTTCACAATAATGACATATTCCCAGAACGTGAAAACACTAAGGTTTGTGTCATGACAGTGAATGATGCCATCAATAATTTGAGTAACTGTATATATGTAAGCACTTATATCCACATTTAGGTGGCTGTACCGGATTTTTAAGTGTTTTTTGTAGATTGGGGGCATCCTTCACTTACATATGTATAACATTCTTACTTGATTATAATTTGAAACAATGGAACAGGCTGTAATTTATCAATTTAAAGGAAATGTCGTCGTTAAAATTATGTAACCATTTCTCTCTGTTCATTACCTATTTTACGATTTCCTTCCATTCACTCTTCTTCAATTATCATGGAAACAAGTGCGTGGAAATTTACATTTTGGGTTTTTACCATCTTTCTGCGTGAGTTTAATTTAAATTGAGGGTATTCACGCACCCTTGGTAACTACGTAAACAGCGTAAAATCCGTAAACTTACAAACGTTTACAAACAGCTTCCCGTGAATTCACTTTCGCAATTATTTTCGTAAAAATTTATCTGATAATTGAAACAAAATGCCGATCATTTCCAGAAAACGGAAATTAATGGAAGAAATTTGTGGAGCTGCATTTATTGATATAATAAATACCACGAACAGTGAAGGCTGTTCCTATAAAAATTTCGAAATTCAACCCTCCTAAATTCTAATCCTAAATCACACTAAATCTTAGCTGAATATATAACTTCTTAGAAATCGGTATCGGTGCCCCTCCCTTATTGCCCATCTGGTTATTTTTTGTTCATCTTTGACTTCATATTCGTTCATGAGAAGCTATCACCGTTCCGAATTTCAGCTTTTTGAGACAAGTTATGAAAATCGGTATGGGTCACCCCAACGGGTCCCGGATGTGATTTTTTACCAATTCCACTTCATATTCTTCCATTAGGGGCCATTAGCAACCTCTATGCCAAATTTCTGTATCGAGCAAATTTTTTTCTTCCGCAAATTGAGTTTACAAAATACTTTACAAAATTTAAAGACGCCTGTGAGCTGCGTAAGTTTACAAAAGTTTGTAAACTGATTTTCCTTGACAATTTTTGTAAAAGTTTGTAAACGTTTGTAAGTTTACGGATTTTACGCTGTTTACGTAGTTACGAAGGAGGGCGTGAATTGCCTCATTAAATGCAAGTAAAATTTGTTGTTAAATTGTACAAAATTTACAGTGTTCATGGAAACAAATGGATCAGCATTTTGTGACAAAAAATTCTCATCATGTTTAAGTAAAAAAAATTAAATTAAATCCGCATGGAAATTGTGGTTCTGTTTAAATCATAAAAAAATTCCTCCCCTAGAAAAACAAGGCCCCAAATTCTGCAACGACAAAATTCGATGTTTCCATGGTTGCGTCCCAATCCCATCAGTACGAATTCAAAAGAAGAATAATAAATACAAATTGGTAGATCATCAAGATCGTAGTTTGGGTCTGGTTGGTATGTCCAAAATTTTGACTTTGTTTTCAGATTCACTCTTAAAAATAATGTGACCCTTTTTGAAAAGTTATTATATTAAATGTTAATTGTAATTACAAATTCAATTCTAAGAAAACTATACTAAATCCTGCGTAAACCTTGCTTTTGATCAAATTACCGTTACTCTGGATTTAGTATATTTTATGTAGTAATAATTCAGAGAGTGTTTAATTTACAAAATGGTGACATTATTTTTAAGAGTGTGATTTCCACATCACCATTTTTTAAATAAAATATTCGTATTATTAGGAGTGTCCATTGGAGATCATACGACGGAAGGGCCGACAGAATCACATGCAAAGGATGGACTAGAAATTAAATCGGATAAATTAACGGGTATTGCGAATGTAAAGAGTTTAAGTGGAATAATGAATAAGGGGGAAGCGGGAAGTGGGGGGATTGCTTCGATTGCAGGGGGTGGGGGAATTAGGAGCTTGTTAGATCCATAAATAAAGATTTTTGTAAAATGTGTTTTTTTAATTTTATTTGTCGACATTTATTTAGACTAATTAATTAATCAGGGAGAACACAACCCATAAATTGATTGCATATTATATTACACAGTGAACACAACTTGAACATTTGGTTTCCGGTTTTCCATCATTTAACCTTGAAGTGTACATTACGAGATGGATAACATTTTTACTGATACAATTTCAAATTAAGAAATACGCATCTTTTTCCGAATTCCCTTTTTTACAAAATTAAACTCTTTACGAATTTCTTTAAAGTTTGCATATTAACAAATCAAATTTTCCGTGAAACTCATCGCCTCCCCAGTCTACGTGCCATTTTGACACATCTTCCTTGATGTTGAGAGTAATGTTGACCCTTAGGACATGTTATTACCAGAATACTTGTGGCGTGTTTCTGTTCATCTGTGGGACGGACAGGGGGAGGATTGGTTGTCTCTTGGGTTGCCACACAAATATAGAAAGTGGTCAAGATTATGGAAACCAGGAGGAAATAGCATACGTGTAGACTGCTTGGCTTGTGCATGATGGTCATGCGAAGGACCTGTAAAAGAGCACACGGTTAGTCAAGCAGGTATTGATCTCTCGGTATTAAAGTTGGTACCACTTGGTATTAAAATTATCCCGGTGTTCAAAAATTTGCCATCGATATGATAAAGGTTTAATCCGAAGCTTTTAGTACAGTGTGTTACTTATCAATCCCACTTTGATGTAACCATAAACTAATACCGCTTGGTATTACTTACATATATTATCACTGGATTTCTAAGAGTCTAACATAATCTTAAATAGGTGGATTTCATTTCGTCTCCGCACCGCAAGGTATGTACATACATATGTTTTTCAGTCCTAATTAATACGGATAATTTGTGACACATTTCCCTATACAAATATTGAAAAGGCTTTGAATTTTGTTACATACATACTTACGACGATGGACAAAAGATGGGCACTTAATTGAGTTTGATCTGTCCCTCGATTTTTTAAGAATAAATATGTTTTGATATTCAATAATTTATACGTGAATAAAATTAAAATTTCAATTGTTTACATTATCAATCATGAATTGTATACTTATATTTTTTAAGTTTTAAATCTCTATGTAATTGTACATGACTTACTCAAGACTTACCCAGTTTCAGTAAAATTATTGAATGGATTTCTTAAATTTCAGCGAAATATTCTGAGCCAGCGTGTTTAACCTCTACATATGTAGGTATCAAATAGCGATAGCGAAGAATGTTCTGATTTCTTACAAATATGTACATAGATTTGCACCTCCAATCTCAGTTTCTATTTACCAAGCTAGTCGGCATATTACAATATATAAACATATGTACCTAAATTACATGTGCATGTTGATATGTGTGAACTATTAAATAACTTTGGTTACATAAGTTGTGATTGCGTATGTAAGATGAAAAGATAACGTGCAAAATTGGCTGAATTTTTCTACTCTCCGTGTTCCCTTGGCTGGCATGTTCAACAATTATAATGGGTAGGTGAAAAAAATCGACGTCTTGAAACCTGTAATTAATTACTAGCTTTCATTGCCATGAATTTAGCATGTTAACCGACAATGTACATATCTATACACAGTTAGAAATCTTATAGACTCGCATATATTCATACTCCATACTGGTATTGATTTCGTAATAGTTCTTTCCGGATTAGTAATGATTTGTTTCTGAGTGGCTAGGTTTACATTACCACAACTTTACCGGTCAGCAATAATACAGTCCGTTGTGTAAAAGTGTAAATATTATACTAGCTAGGGTATTTATTTACAAGGATTGGAGCACGTAATGTTTGCACGTGGAATAAATGAATTTATAAGGATAACTTGTCTCTCATTGCCAGAATGTACCTTCTTTTTGGCCATGTTTAGCAAACGTGGATACATTTTAATAAATGACCTTTGTGTTGAATAATAAAATCGTTTGAATCAAATGAACCAAAAATGCTAGAATTTCTCTGAAGGGTTGAATATGTACATAGCCAAGTACTTTAACGTGTTCAGAAACTCCTATAAATAAATAAGGATTTGCTATTTAAATAATTTTGATATTTGAACTTGACAATGTAAAATTACGTGCTGACATAAAATGAGCAAATACTTGAATGGCATAAGTAGGTATATTCAATTTTAAACCAAGTGGTAAAGTTTTCAATCCGAATCCCACATTCGCTGTGTTCAACGTCAAAAGGAGCTGATTCTCTTAGTCTTGAATTTTCCATATTCTGCGTATTAAAGCAGGGTAAATTTACGATTTCTGTAGTAGCTGATTCTCTACGTGGAAGTAGCCTTGGCAAGAGTAAGAGCAATTAAGTGCATAAATGCGTTATTTAATAACCGTTTGGGGAACATTATATACTTCATTTAGATAATTTGCATTGCTGAAATTTTAACTATCATCTACATACATATGTACATATATTTATCTGTATGTAACTGAGGATGTTAACTCCATCAAACGAAAGAAATTCAAAATTTAAGGTAGATAGAATAGAATTAACAGATCGTATAGATGACATTTATGAAATGATTTATTCACAAGCTTTAAAACTGGTATTAAATCAATACTTACCAAAATACAGATGTGTATATTCTTTACCCGCACTGGTAATAATAGGCATTACCACCGTTTAGTAATGTTGTAACGAAAAATTTGCCACTCAGAAGCAAATCAAATTAATGCTAATTCAGTTGAAAGTTACTACCAAATAAATACCAGGAAGGACTACATACATACATTAGTATGTGACTCTACCAGATTTTGTAGAGTGCATGCAACATTCATCTCGTTCAGTACAGTATTCATACATACATACATTTGCCTCTATTTGACATGCTGGCACATGTTGTAATTCCTCATTTAAACCGGCATTTTACAGTTGCCAAAAATATCCATGGATTGCATTATGCTTGGTCTAGTTGTGGACAAAATAGGGTAGTAGCTGCTCCAATACTTGACCGTTACTGGGCCACAGCTTTTACTTTGGTTAATCATGTCTACATCATGCTACAAATTGTAACACTTTCGATTTCACCAGTTATCCTGGCAGATAAAATTGTTCCGATCTTCTGCACTTTATTGTATGCGACGGCCGTATCATTTTCCGCGGAATGGAGCGCAGACCAAGGAAACATTCAGTTGATGAATGTCATCACTTCGGATAATGGTAACAACTTTAATTACGATTTTGTACCGATAATTTCTAAAACAATTCCAGTGTATATTTCTCTTTCTCTATAAATAAAGATCAACCAAACTCGTCCAAAAATACAGGCATCTTTCTCCTACCCAACATTTTATTCACAGTAATGGAAGTAACATACCTGATCCTAGTCGTCGTGGGAGTCATGGTTTTCCTATCACCATGCCAGCTACCCTTCCTCGGTTCTCTAATTCTACCCACGACTCAATGCAATCTACCAATTTGGCATTGTCACCCATGTTTTGCCATCGTTCGAATATTTTTGGCAACCCTGGAACTCATATAATTCTTCAATATCGTCCTGATCGGGATGCAGTACGGGATTTATATCATATTCACGGGATGCATGCACATTTGGGTCGAGTTGCGAAAATTGAAGGAGCACCTAAACGCTCGGAACTTTCAAAAAGTCAAAATTCTAGAGAAATTGCTAAATTCATGTATAGGATCCAGACTTTTTCCTACATTTCTGGCAGCAATTCCGACGATGCAAGTGCTCGGAGCGTACGCCTGCATAAAGCACCGCACCGCCATGCAACTGACCCATCTGATCCTGGTGTCTATCGCCTTCTTGGATTCGTTCACCTTCAACTTGGTGCTACTAACGGGAACGGGAATGCTGTACGGGACAAGTCGCTCATACTTGGGAGAAATGAAGGGCAGGAGAAATTGGAAGGTTAAAATGAAAATTTTGAAATCCTTGACACCACTGAAGGTTAGGTTCGGGAGTAACTTTGTAGATGAGTTGACGCCTCTAGTAATTCAGCAATTTAGCCTGATTCAAACTGTAAATTTGCTCATAATGGTTTAAGAATTCGTATTGTTTCGATGCTTAATTTTTTGGCGTGAAAAGCTATGCAATTGGGTGAGGCGACGCTATCAGTATTTTTCAATTAAGGCAAAGTTGTGAAGACATGTAGGTATATGTTACTGATTATTTTGAAAATAAATCATACCATTATACATAAAAATAATATTGATCTTTAGGTTTATTTAGTTTAATGTATTTATTTTATTAACGAATACTTGGTAAACCTTATTAAATTACAATGGAATTTTATATGAAAATTCTAAGCCCCATTTTCAAGCAAGCATCTTAATTAATAATTCAGTATGAACCTATGTATCGTACCTTTAGCCTGTCAAACCACAGAAATATATCGAAACTTCTGTTTCCATATAATCATAGACGTGAATTAGGTTTAAACACCTTTCCGATCCTGAGAATTCTTTGAACAGCACGACGTTGCAAATAATTGTGTTAAATCAACATCAAGATTCTCATGCACGTTTTCCACCTGATATAAATATGTTTGCTACGTCCTTTTGAACGTCAGAGAATAAAGTATATTTCCGAAACAAATTGCGTTTTCGATTTTTGTTTTTCTGAGGCTAATTACATATCTAAATCGATGGTAATTCTTTTCAAGGTTGGCCTCATCATACCATGAGAATTAAAGATATCGATCCTAAATTCGCTCGGCCTTAGGTGCCACGTTACGTGCGCATCGTAATATCATTCATCTTAAATGAATAAATCCTTCAATGATTTTCAGCCAAATGACAGGGAATTCAGTTCCATTCAGTACCATTCACTCATAGTCATAATCAGTCAACTGATTGAAAGTGAACAGGTATGTGCACACATACATGGCTAAACTCTGTTTCACATTACTCAATTTTGTCACATGGAGTACATGAGCCGAACGAGCCAAATTATTTGATTTACCGCCTTGAATACATTAGCCGAATTAAAT